CTTTCAATGTTGCTCTTTCCTGATCGATCGGCCAGTTACATAACGCGGTTTGAGCGCTAAGTCGGGCATAGAATGACGAGAATGAGTCATTATCCTGCATGAATATAGTATTGTATAGCTTAATCCTTTCGACTGTGTAGTCACGCTCTGCCTTGAAGACATCCTCACAACACTTATGAAAATCTCTGAACGAGCTAGTATTGAGATCCAAATGAGGGTAGGAATCCAAAAATCGTTTTTTCCCCTCGTTTCCCAGAGCGAAGAAAAGTCGCGATTTCAACCGCGCCTCTGCCTCATGGTAACACCAGTTATTTCCAATGCGAGGTCCTTTTCGTCTCCTGTCTTGATTGTACTCGTCGATTCTTCTATTAGCTGCTGCAATTCGGAGGTTCCTATTGGCCAACTCTGCGGCATTTTCATCTGCACTCGGTGCTTCGGGCTTTGGGTAAGGTTCATCCACTAACTCTGCTGGGGCAACTAGTAACTCCCCCGGTGAGATGTTATCTTTGAGACTCACCGCCAAAAAAAATTGTCCCACCCACGTCTCCCAAATGAAAGGTGGGTTAACCGATGTTCTTGCCCAAAAGGGTGGTATTCCGAGTAGGTCAGTCCTGTCTTCATTCACAGGAACTGCTGGCTGCGCCATGAGATTTCCCTCAGTTTGAGTAGGGAAAAAGATGTTATAAAATCCAGATATTGAATTAGATATGATAAATATATAGATAGAAATAAAGTAACGAATAAATGATTATCGAATCCAGAATTGAATGTATAGTTTTAAAGGTATAATGTTTTCTGACTTGAATTCACACTTAAGGCTCTCGCAAGTGACCGCTTCCAAAACTCAAGTGACAAACGAATTGGCTGGTGAGATTTGTCCTTGAATCAATTTACTGCACTATAAGTAAATAAATAAGATATAGTTAGATAAGACAATACATAAGTAAATAGAATATAATGAGGTACCGAAGGTCGCCTCATGACACTAGCCTATGAAAAAGACAGGTTGAATCCAATTTTACACAACACTAATTTTTTGAAAATGTTCTTCAGAACCTAGAAAATAGTGCGAAACAAAACACTTTTTTAGACAATTCGCTCGATGATTTATTTGATTTTTAGAGAATCAAGCAGCCATTGCTTTGCTAACCTGTAAATTGACAGGTTGAATCCATTTTTACACAACACTAAATTCACAAAAATGTTCTTCAGAACCTACAAAAAAGTGGGAAACAAAATACTTTTTCAGACAATTCGTTCTATGGTTTACTTGCTTTTTAGAGAATCAAGCAGCCAAAGCTTTGCTAGCCTATAAAAGCGACAGGTTGAATATATTTTTAAACAACAATAAATTTACAAAAATGTTCTTCAGAACCTAGAAAATAGTGCGAAACAAAATAATTTTTAAGACAATTCGCTCGATGATTTATTTGTTTTTTTAGGGAATCAAGCAGCCAATGTTTTGTTTTACGACAAAAAAATTCGGGAGTATCAATTTTCATAATTTTAGCCAGTAAGAGTTCATAACTTCACCATCATAGGAAATTGCGTACGCTGTTTTTTAAAAAAAACATTTCCTAAAAGAACTGTGTATTACAATCTGGCTTCCATTAATAAAAAAATAAAATTTGAAAACAACCTATTTTCAAAAAATGTTTTTTTCTTAAAATTTTTCAGGATTGTATCTAGTCAGTAATTGCGAAATTAAATATTTGTCAATCAAAAAGGTAATTGTTGTTTAGATCACCTTAAAAGCAATTGCCCTGCCTTATTTAAAAATTTTCATTCTGGTAAAAAGGTTGACACAGAAAACCTTTTAAATGACACTCTTTTTTGTTTTTGAAAACTTACATTTTTTGCAAAAACCCGCTTTTTTGAGAAAATGTTTTTTTTAGATAAGTTTTGCTTCTTTTCAGCCATGACAAAGTAAAGTATAGGGTTTATATCTATATTGCCGATTTGGCGATTCAAAATTTTGAAGTTGACTGTTTAACTGTTATAAAAATTTATTTCTTGTCAACAGCGACGAACTAATAAACCTAAGACATATGAACATTGAGTTAAAAGTAAAATGAAGGACATCTAAATTTCTTGTACTTTCTGTAGTAAACATCAAAACCTGTGACAAAAAGTTAAGAAATTATGCTAGAACGCACTTTGAATGTTTTTATTTTTTTTAGAAGTTTCTCGTCAACCTCGTAAGGCTTATTCAGTTTTAGAGAGCAAGTAAGCACTTAAACGTGTTCTTTGTTGTTCTAAAGCAGAAAATAAATTTTCAGTCACAAAAAACTGATTTAAACGTTTGAGTCGGTAATATTCACAACCCAGAGTCAGTAAGATAGCAAGGTGAACGTATATTTTTCTACCGATGATGATTTAGTTTCTTAGCCGCCCATTTAAATTAAAAATCAAAGTGTACTGAAGTCAAGCAAACAAAACCCCATACAACCCATTTAAAAGTGCCCAATTTTTTCGAACTGATTTTTGATCATAATTTTTTTCTACTGAAAAAGGCTTAAGATACAGTTTCGAAATTATTTAGTAAAAGTGTTTTTTAGTAAAAGTGTTATCATTATGCTGCCACTCAAAATAACCTTAATTTTATTAAATCCCTTTCTGGAGGCTAATACAAAAGAAATCAGATGTTTTTTTTTATTTTGGTTTCTAGTTTTTGTACGAGAAACGCTTATCATGAAAGCTTATCATAGAGTTTTCATTAATAAAAACAATATGCTAAGCATTTTTTCGACCAAAATTGAAATCATAGTTTTCACAGTCAAAACGCCCTTTATCCTCAAACCGCCCTTTATCCTCACAGTCAAAACTCCCTTTATCCTAAACGCCCTTTTTAACAACCTCTAAGTTTGTCCATACACATTTTAATGATTTTTGAAGACTTTTTCTATAACAAAGTGCTTATCGCACAAGTTTCAATTATGAAAATGTTGTGATCAGCAATTTCTCGACTAAAACAAAAATCAAAATATTGAGAGTCAAAACGATTTTTGCAATAGAAAATCTTTTTTAACTTGATGTAAAATCATCCAGAAAACTCTTCAAAAAAGAATTTATTTTTCAATAGCAAATGCTTTTCATATAGTTTTGATAAATGAAAATAGCGTAATGAGCATTTTTCCGACCGAACATACAATCATGTTTTTGAGAATCAAAACAATGTTTTCCAATAAATGTCCTTTGTAACCTTAGATAAAGTGTTCAGAAATCTATTTTAATGATTTGTGAGGATTTTGCTTTTTCTATCGCAAAATGCTTGTCATACAATTTTTGCATACATGAAAGTTGTATAATAAGGATTTTATATCAAAAGTTTCAAATGACTTTTGTAATGAACAGTACGCATCAGAAGAGACAAATAGAACAAACATGTTCAATATAACCTTTAAAACAGTTTTTAAATTTTGTATGAAAATTATGTTAGAAGCATTTTTTACATAGACGCCATATATGAAAAAGAATGATAGAAATTTGCTTCAATGCACGTCAACCCGGATCATTTCATGTTTAAAGACCAAACATAAGTAGGGCTTAAATGTCTGAAAGTTATCTATACTTATCGATGAATTCCCCAAAATTTTCCCAAAAGATTTTTTCACAAAACCATTATTTTGCCATTTTTTGCTCAAAAATCCAAATATATGATATTCTCTCCAAACGCAATAAAACACATTGAAAAAAAACATTACAACAATTTATTTTGGGTTATTTAGTTTAAGCATTGCAAATCTAAATTTAAAAAAAAAACTAACTGATTTCGAAGACTTTTAAAAATCGTAAATTGCATCCAACTTTCGAATCGTAGCTATTAGTCAGACTTGGTACCAATCTTCAAAAACTTCATGCCTAGTTTCACTGTGTAGAGGTTGAATAAACATCAATACGAGGCCAAACTATGCAAACTGTAAGTGGATAACCAATTTTTGTTTATTACTGGGCTTGCACATGAACATTTAAAAACTAGGTCTGAAATTCCTATCTTTAGCAAAGCGAAACTTAAAAGCAAGGACTTAACCATTGTCAACAGAATCCACGAACATACCTTGAAACATAGGTTAACTAAATCGGTGGATGTCATCTCTTAGTATTCGGGATACCTATCCCATCAAACAATTTCATTATTTGGATTCATTGGGTTGAGAGTCTTTAGAAACACAATGCACAGCATATCACCGATTTATTTCTCTATTTGGGATTCCATTGATTTCAAATATTGGTCAGCATTTGGGATTGATGGAATCCCAAATACTGGAATAAAATGGAATAAATATGGAATAAATTAATTATTGGAGTCACTGTGTTGAGAGTGTTTAGAAACACGATGAACAGCATATCGCCGAATTAGGTCAGTACTTGGGATTCCATCAAGCCCGAATACTGAAGCTGGTCGTTTGACAGGAATTGAGATCGAACGTTAGCCATTCCAACAAGTAGCTCATCAATATAGTAATTTAGTAATTGAGATTGAACTTGCTGGGAACCACCTGGTAAATAAAAGATATAACTTTAACTGCTATTACATATATACATATATGTTAACGGATTCCGCAAACAAAAGCGGATTCTACTTACAATTTGCGGATTCCGCTTTTAGCTCTGGATTCCGAAACAGCTCAATTTAATTATACACATTTCTTATTATTTGTTTGTGAACTCCACAAACTGTTCTAGTTTCCGCAAACACGGTTGCGGATTCCACGAGTTCTCCGCTTTAACGAGCGGCGATTTTGAGTGGTACAGTCTTTTAGGTATGTTTGTTGAATCCAAAACAGCAAAGAAGATCAAGAAAAGTAGCAATGTGGGGGATTTCGCAACAAATTTGTTTTTGCCTGTTGTGGAATCCGCTTGCCATGCACAGAATGCACATTTTGGCCTCGTAATGATTGGATATAACAAACACTCTCTCAGAATAAACATTGCTTTTTCCAGAATTCTCACGTGCCGGTCCGTTTGATCCTATATAACCTCTTATTTGAACAAATAAGTAAAACAAAGCCTGAACTTAACTAAGCTATTCAAATTCCAAAGTCAAAGCAAAAAAATCTATTGGTTTTCCTCTTGATCGCGTCTAGCAGCGTTTTCCAGATTTCTGATCAACTTTTGCTCCTGGTTACAATTCTTGTCGTTGTAAGGGTCCAGAATGTCGGTAGGGAGCCAGCCAATTTTAAGTTTTTCGTTGTTCACAACCATGCATTTGAGCCACTTCTCTCGCTTCGGTCCCAGAGAGCGGACGAGGTAGTTGAAGTAAACAGTCAACTCATCCGGTTCTCTGGCTTCGTAGAACTTGTTTGCTTTGAACCAGTTTCCATCCGGGAGGTCTATGGAGGGGCGGTGGTAGCTGGCGTCGCCATTGAACGCATCTATCCACCGCTCTTTGTCAGAGTCAGTATTAAAAAAGAAGAGAAACCGTTTCTCTTTGCCCACTGTTCTAAAACGAAACAAAGACACCTGAGTTATGTGTCTTGTTTTGACTGCCAATAAATCGTTTCAAGCACTCCTGCCTAGATCTCAGATATAATCAGGCGCGGATCCAGGAAATTCTAGAGGGGGGGGGGCGGATTTTCAACATTTTGAAAATTTTGTCGACCTTTTTTTCAGGTCGACCAAATTGATTTTGTGAGCTCTCCCAAACCACTATAAAGACCTAAATTAGACCAAACTTTTTGCGCCGCTGGCAAATTTTTGAAAAAGCCAAAAACGCATTTTTAGGCACTTTTTGGAAAATTTCGGCCAAAAAATCGCGTTTTTTCGGCGCGCGCTATCTTCTCAAAATTAGTATAGATTGACGCCCAAGGCTCCTTTAGAAAAATTTTGAGGTCATTCAGCCAAAAATGGATATCTCAAAATAGTATAAAAGGGGCCCCTTTGGGTCGGCTGGGTGTCAAAACCCTGAAGAGGGGGGCGTCCGCTCCCCCCCTGCTAAATCCTCTACTCGACATAATATGGTAAGAAAAAGTGTTATAGAAATTAGCCGACGTGCGGCAAGTGAAAAAAAGGGAAAAAGGGAAAGCCAAAGATAAGTTTTTTAAGGCTTGAAGAGCTCCAAACTCACCTTCACTATCTATCGGTATCTTCATAATAAGTGTCAAATTGAACAAAAAAAACTAAGTACCTAAAAAAAGTGGTTCAACAATTGGTTATTTTTTTATCTGGGTGTCTTGTTTTTGCTTCGTTCGCTTTATCATTTTAACAAGTTTGCTTTATCATGTATAAATTTAACGAAATGAGCTGAAGAACTTTTAAAAAAATCAAAAGTCAAACCGTGGAAAAAAATCACGAAGACCTACATAAGAAACTTGACAGATGTCTATTATCAATCTTTGGAACGGGTCGAGTGGTATATCCATTTAAATGTCCTTTTAGTCATGATTTGATTGCAAAGAATATTTTTTTCTGGTCTCAAGAACAATTTTGAGTTAGGTATGGAGGTCTATCTCATAGAGTAATTTCGGATAGGGTACACCGTCTGCTCCTCACGCTATCTTATTTTCAGCCGGATAGATTCGTGCAACTTCTTAGTCTAATACCGATCCTAATTTTACTCTTATAACTTCTAGTCTCAGGGTGTTTAACTAGTCTCTGCTAGGCTCAATAGATCTAGAGTATACTGGTATTGTTGCGGCTGCTGAAGTACTCGGGAGAGGCAACTATTTTCTAAGTTAAATTCAAATCTCTCTGGTGCTGAAATTACAAGTAATTTCAGCACTTACAAATAAGTGGGTTGTTAGTTAGATGGATTGTGATTGGTTAATATTAAAAACTTTACAGTGGTAAAATATCTAATTTATAAATAATAAAATGTAGTTTAGATCAGGTTCCACCCATCCGGGGTTTACAGAGTTTTTGAGTTTTATCTCTTTTATTCTGCAATTGAAGGATGGATGATGAACGTTGGTACGTGGCGAACATCATTTTCTTTTCTTGTTCCCTGGAGAAGAGAAGTCCAGGAGACTAGAATTGTAGACATAATTTCTCTTCAAGAGAAACGTTCCAGAACGCTGGAGTTAGAGATATCCAATTGTCTTCGTGTCGTTTGTCAACGAATGTGATCCCCAATGAAATTGTTTAGATTCCAGAATCCAAAATGCTTTGCTATGTCAGTTTTGTTTGCATTTGTGGAGAATTGTTTTGTGATCAGCCTCGTCTGGGAATGGCGTGAAACACGTGTTCGGAAGTGATGCCTTGTTACTCGGATCTGTATGTATACTTGAACATCGAGATGGTCATTGGTCTGGTTCAATGAAGTCCTTTGCTGCGAAGTCAAGTCGTACTCTAAATCCTTTGAGTCGTGATTGTGGGCGGCATGTCGGTTGTGGTTGATAGCCATTCTTTTTGTTCAAGTTGTGGTGGGATCGTCTAGTCTTTGGATGTTCGTCCTTGTTGTTGCGTGTGATCTATATACTGCATATTGAGATTTACATTTGATAGATTTTATTTAATTATTTTTTAGTTATGATCTTGGTTAATTGTTTTCACAAAAGCGTTTTATTTTAGTTCAGTTATTTTGAAGAGTTACTCACCCTTGAGTACCTCTTATTTAAAATAGAAGTGTGGTCACAAAGCGTGGATGTAGCGCGGTGGGTTAGGCCGGCTATAGAGCATGCTCAGGACGTCCTCTCTGGTGGGTTAGGCCAGGAGTGGGAGTATGATTTCGTGCTGTTTCTTTGAGGGGTCCTGTTTTGTGTTTTTATATGGTGGTTTTTCTGGGTTTTCTTATCTTACTTATGGTTGTGTCCTTTTTCCAAAAATCAAATTGTTTTTGGTTTGGGTTTGTCTTTCGACTTTTTTGTGTTCTATTATTTCTTTCGTTGACTTTATAATAGTCTTCAAAAGAATAAATTATCCAGTTTTAAGCTGGGTTAATCCGGTTTGGGTACTGTTGGTGTTCTTTTCTAATTTTCTAACCCATGCTGTTATTTTATGATTTGTGGTTTTTAGTCAATTGCATTCGTTAGTTTGGTATAGTGTATAACTCCATTCCAACCGGGTTAAAGAAAAGTTGGAAACTTGTTATCGTTAGTCAGAGTTGTTGTTATTGAAAGCTTGGAACATGAAATCATTATTTTAAACAATTCTTCGTGGGCGAGCTGTGCGAGTATGGATATAATTCATGTGCGAATGAATAAAAAGGTAAGTACTGCTTTCCCAATTTATAAATTTACTGCTTGAATTTGAATTTTTACTACATTTGGGGAAATTTGAATTTATAAATTTTCATTTTATGTATTTTTACTGCTTTTAGGGGGAAGAATTTATAAATTGATTTACTACATTTAGTATGAATTTTACGACATTATATAGTGCGTAAAGTTTTAGTTTCTTAACATTGTTTTAGCAAATGAGTTTTATATGAATTGTAGTCTAATGTAACAAGTTTATATTTTTATTTTCTTATTTTTTGTAGATGATGGTGATGAGAAGACTAGAAAAAGAAATTTAACATTATAAAGAATGGTTAGTAGATTTTGTATTTATTATTGAAGGTAATTTATTTATACTTACCTTAATCTTCGGGGAAAAAGCCGTGTGGGAAGAGTTCTTGGATTAATTCAGATGATGTTAATAATTTAGCTAATATGCGGATGATGTTTTTAGTTTGTAGCATTGGCCAAAGCAAATCAAGTGCTTCGATGATATTTAGTTCCTCGGTGCCTACTGCGAATTCATGAGGTGTGTGTTGTATTAGATTATAAATTTTATGATTATATTTGGTGTTATGGATGAACTCTAGAATGGGAATTTCGATTGGTTGTAGGAATTCATGCGGGATGAGGAAGGGTCTGGATTCTTCGTCCTGGAAGGTCTTCGTGATGGGGCAAAATATATATATTTGGTGAACGGGGTCGTAGTTACGGAGGATGCCGTGGAGGTTAGTATTTTTGATACAATAAACAAAATTAAGAAAAAATGGTGATATGTACCTTGAGTTAATAAATTGAAAACGGTGGTGTGGTTGTCTTGAGGGTGTGTGTAAGTCCAAGTGATTTTGTATGAAACGATAGTATGCATATGTGTGTGTCTGTTTAGTGCGTAACATAATATCGTGGGAGCAGTGCAAATCACGTTCCTGTGGTGTAAGGAAGTGGAAGGTTAGTGTAAATAAATGAAATTTATCTTGAAAACTTTGGTATGCTTGTGTGTCGATGAGAGTTTCAGAGAGGATGTGGTCGTTCTTTTTATCAAAAATGTTAATTGTGAATAGATATGGTGTTTTGATGAAAAACTTTTCGGTTAGTTGTGGGTTAGCAAAACGGTCGTCGTCTAAAAATTGATCGTGGTTAGGGCGGATGATGAAATCGTTAGCTCGGGGTGCGGTAAATGATTTGAGCAATTTTTTAAATCCAACGTCGCCTCACTGGTCGCACCAGATGAGTTAGGTATGGAGGTCTATCTCATAGAGTTATTTCGGATAGGGTACACCGTCTGCTCGTCACGCTATCTTATTTTCGGCCGGATAGATTCGTGCAACTTCTTAGTCTAATACCGATCCTAATCTTACTCTTATAACTACTAGTCTCAGGGTGTTTAACTAGTCTCTGCTAGGCTCAATAGATCTAGAGTACACTGGTATCGTTGCGGCTGCTGAAGTACTCGGGAGAGGCAACTATTTTCTAAGTTAAATTCAAATCTCTCTGGTGCTGAAATTACAAGTAATTTCAGCACTTAAAAATAAGTGGGTTGTTAGTTAGATGGGCTGTGATTGGTTAATATTAAATACTTTACAGTGGTAAAATATCTAATTTATAAATAATAAAATGTAGTTTAGACCAGGTTCCAATTTGTACGATTTTTAATTTAAGTCAACGTCCACTGTGTAGGTCCTGAATAAAACAATTTTAAAATATTTCAAGAAAAATTGTTGTTAAGTTTGTTCAACGCTTCCTCAGCGAGTTATCTTTTATTAAATCAAAAACTATTCTGCAAAAGTTAGCTGTTTTTTGTTCTAGTTTTTGATCACAATGACATTCATTGTGCCTATTTCACTAACGCGATGCGCGTTTGCTTAATTATCTCATCACAACACCTTTAAAAAATGACACTACTTTGGAAAAAAAATGAAATAAATTTTTAAAAGTTTTAAGATTTAAGATTATTTTAGTTTTAAGTATTAAGTATAAAGTATTAAGTTATAAGTTTTAAGTATTAAGATTATGGTCGAAACACCGTGCTTCTTGCACAGCAACCAACCGGCTATCTTTGTTTCATTCTGTTGAGCCACATTATTTAAAATTCAACAATTTCTCGATTTCGAGAAAAACTGGTTGAGCGTAGAGCATATTTTGAGCTATATAAAATCAACCTTTGGCTTGAAACAGCAAGGTTTCCTCTAGTTTTTTTTCCAGCACAAAACCTAAAAGAAGGAAAATTTCTAATGGTATTTTTTTAAGTTTAATAAATTGCATTAGGCTTTAGTTTACCCACGCCAGTAATAGTTCTTCTAGGCTACGTTTTGCTCTCTCCTCCCTTCTCGCAGAAATGAATATTTCGAACAAAATATATATATTTCTTTTTACTATACTCGGAATGCTTGTTACCTTAGTCTTTCGGATATGTTCACATCTTCTGTCACCTCCTTCGCCTCACACGACTTGCGGCACACCAGCTGGATACATTTGTGCCAGAAGGTGGGCGGCTGGTTGCCCAGTGTCTGGGTGAAGCTCTCCTTCATGAACTCTGCCCCGTGCCTCGCCTCCATTTCTGTCACCACGTACTTGACAATGAAGCGACTGTTTTTGTCAGTCGGCACCGAGATGATCGCGTACTCGTTGAATCGGAAGCAGTAGATCTTATTCGTCTTCGTCACTGAAACCAAAACAACACAGTTCACTGGGTCTAGTCTGATCCAATCATTTTTCTTCTTTTGCTAATTCAAGTCTGCTTCATTTTAAACACTCAAGAATCTACCAGTAAGTTCCATTATTCTTTGAGCATTTCACATCATAATGAACCGGATTCTACTTTAACGGACTCTACTGCATTTTTTTACCGGAAATTTAAATTTCCGGATTTCGGACTCCGGAATCGAGTTCAGGTTTAGTGGTGCTGCAAACGCTACTGTATAATTATAAAATATAATTTGTGGCTTTAACTAATTTGTGATCCGATCTTTAAAGAAAGTAGTGCAAAGTTCAAACTCGGTGTGACTTTTTTCTACAGAAATTCAGACTCTTGGAATAGTAGTTCGTACAAACTGGGCCACAATTTAACATTCTCGCGAAAAGAACTGGAGAAACTTCTAACCTTCGTTGAACGGAATTCAAAATAATGCAGGTAGCGGGATTAATGAATTTACCGCGGAATCGTACATCATGTACAGTTAATTCTATCAGCAACACCAATCACGAAGTTCAAAATAGAACCGGCAGTCATCACCCGTTAAGAATAGATTTCCCATGTAAAATGTTATCAATACGCTAAAATCCGATTTGCGCCCGTTTAAAGTATAAGGCCAAAATCACCCATGTAGGAAGAAACTAAGAAAAAAACCCGAATTGATCTCGCAGGTAAGCCTGGGTCAAAGTGGTCGATTCATGTTTCGACTTTGAAAGTCGATCAATTGCAGTTTAGCGACTGAAATTCCGCGGTACAGAAATTATTTACAGGCGAGCACAAAGTCAAAACGTACCCCATTTCGGTAAAAAAGTTTCAGAGTGAATCCTTTAGGTTTTGGAAATCTGAGGATTCCTGCGGCAAGAAAAAGTAAGTTCTACCAAAACTTTTTCTATTATCAGCATTCACATCAACAGTTTCATTCAAGATTCGTTAAAAAAACTGGAAATGAAAATTTCAACTAAAAAAAATAGCTTTTGATGGAGGAACTTTGCATTTTTCAGGAGAAAGTCGAGAAAAATTAAACACATGTCGAGCACAGTCGAAAAATGATCAATTTCGATCAAGAAAGTCGAAGCAAACGTCGAGCACCGTCGAAGCATAGATCAAGCACTGTCGGAAGTTAGATCGAGTATAGTCAAAATATGGGTCGTGCTCAGTCGAAACATACGTCGAGCACCATCGAAACATAGGTCGAGCATATTTTTTTGAAAGTTTTAGTGCCGATTCCACAAATCGACTGTTACAAAATTTTTATCAAAAAAAAGAGAAAAAATTGAACTACTATAACAAAAAATTTATTTTTCAGGGGACGATAACTTGAAAGAAAAGATCAATTCAATTGTATTTTCACTGAGATACTAAAAAGATTTTTGAACAGTTCTTTGGAGCCACCAGAGCCGACAAAAAAGCGAGAACGTTTTTTGTTTGTCGAGACAGTAAAAACATACCCATTGTTGGTTGCGAAAGTCAAAATAAATCTATACGGTGTCAAACAAATAAAATGCTTTCAAAATGTTGGTCGAGACAATCGAAACATTTTGAATTTGGGTCGAGAAGGGGAGTGAAAGAACTGGCCGAGTGTCTAGATGACAGATTACCTAGTCGGCCGAAAGTCTTAGGAAGTGAAAGTATTAGCCGAGCGTCCAGTTGGTCGAGTGTGCAGCTGAACTAATTCTGAGATGCTCGAAATTGTCAGATGGTGTAATTGATTGAAATGGTCGAAATCTGTTGAGTGCAACTTGGCGATGAGCCTCCCGGTGTTTACAAAATTCCCGGTGTTTGCCTAACCTCATAACATGTAAAACGGAACAATTTTCGAAGCTGTACATACGATGTGTAATTCTGACTTCCGACGCCAAGCAATTTAGGAGCTCTAGCATTTTCTTGATACTGAACACTCGAGACTTGTTTGGTTAAACCAAAGTAGCTACTTCTTCTCAATACTTTCGGTCTGTTGAGTTCATTGATATACGTGCAATTGTCAATTCGACAAAGTGTACTCGCTTTTTTCTCGGTAAAAAAGATTTTCGATACAAGTTTTGGGAATTGAAAACCCGTATAATTGGAACAGAGACAACAGGTACAAGAAATAATTTTTGAACATGTGTGTGACTCGAACCCAGTGACCAAGTTTTCTAAAATTTTCTCCGCAAAATTTTCCAAAAAGTCTCTCCAGAACTCAGCGCAAGTTAAGTGCCGTGACGGTTTAGTATCAGGCAGATTAAATTGAATTTTTTCTCAGCCTTAGGGATTTCAGCGTTTGTGTTGTTGGAATTCGCCAGACTTGCTTGAATTCTTCCCCTTTTTGTGAATAAAGTTGTAAGCCCCGTTTCACACCCAAGGTCATCGATTATATTATTTCACTGTTATTTTGGCTGGTCCGGTTAGGTGTTACTAGATGAGTCAAATTGAATTTATTAGCCTCAGAATTTTTCCGTATGTTCTTGGAGTTCAAAAATTCACAATCAAATTTGTAAGAAATTTGATCTAGCATCGTATCGGTGATTTTGTCGGTGTATTTTCTGATGTAGTAGTCAATCAGTGCAGTCGGCACCGCTGACTTGCGGACAAGTGCGAATTTCACTTAGCAAATAATAACCTTCCGCATACCTTGTTGCAGCATCAGTGATTACCGGAAAACTTTTTGTCGGGGACTAGTTGGATTCGTGCAAAGGCATTAGGTGCGCTTGCAATTAGGAGCAACTTGACCAAAAGGCTCAAACTAAGTGATTTTCTGTTTGCTTAAATTGTCAGTATTGTTGAACAAGTGCCAGTAGTAAAGAACCCTGAAGTCAATGAGATACCAAAGATTAACAATTGTTTCGCGTTTTACCTCTTAATTGGGATCATGTGAATGACATATTGGTTATGAGCCGGGGGGTTGATTGCCCTCTCTATAAGGCCGTAACTCAACGGTTAGTTTTGTGTTTTGCGTCCTCGGTCTCGGTGTTTGACCCTAATGGATTAGTAGTCCACGGTTACGGTTAGTCTTTTACTGAAGACTTTTGAATTAGGTCTTTTACATTCTTACGGCTTGTCTTTTACTGGAAGAAAATGGAAGAATAAGCGGTCGAAAATTTCGGTGATATCCGCAGAAGCTTTCTGCGCCGCCGGATTTCTGTGTTCGCGACTCACAAGCTGATACAAAGCTCATATATGTTTTGACTTTGGTACGGTGCGTGCTAAGCCATTGAAAGCGTCATCTATAGATATGTAAGAACTTCGAGCTCTTCTTCTTGCAACTAGAGTGTAAAATGAAAACGTGCCGGCGCTCTCAGTTAAAGTGAATAATATACTTATGTGGACATATAGCACCACCGTACTGCAGTGGCCTAACTCTAATGATAAGCTGCCTGCCTTCACGAATTTTGTTAACACTGATAGAGATACTTTGTTATCGTTTAATATAGATAAAACAAGTAATAAATTCTCCGCTCAAATATGCCTGACAACGGATCTGTAGATCCAGTGATGTGAGTTTAGGTCCAGGTGGCCTTCTCATAGAGTAATTTTTGATAAAGTACAGCGGCCGGATAGAGTCGTGCAGTTTCATTGTCTGATTCCGATCCTAATCTTACTCTTGTATTTCTTAGTCTCAATAGATCTATTTTATACTGGTCTTCTTGCGAGGTTAGAGTAGAGAAAGAGGCAATTGAGTTCAAAGTTGTTTTATATTTTCTCTGGCTGAAACTATGAATAATTTCAGCTTTACAATTTTTCATACTTTTTAGTAATGGATGATGATTGGTTAGTTCTGAATAATTTACACTGATAAACAGGGGCGGATCTAGGATTTTCTCGAGGGGGGGGGGGGGGGCGGTTGGATTTTCGAAAACTTTGTGTACCTTTTTTTTAGGTCGACTAAATTGATTCCTGAGCTCTCCCAAACCCCTATAAAGACCATAATTAGACCAAAGTTTCTGCGCCGCAGGGAAATTTTCAATAAAAGGCCAAAAAAAGACGTTTTTAGGCACTTTTTAAAAAATTTTAATAAAAAAATTGCGTTTTTTTGGTGCGCGCTCCCCCTCAATTTCCGCCAAAGGCGCCTTCAGAAAAATTTAGGGGTCCGTCAGCCAAAAATGGATATCTCAAAACAGTTCAAAGAGGGGTTGGCTGTTGTTGCTTTAGCTGGTTAGACTGGGTTCCAGACCGGGTCACAAGTTTAGCCGAATCACTGAAACTCGCAACCAGATGAGTCCTGTACATCACATCACATCCACCACAAGACGCTTTTGGTAGTGAGTCGACTTGACTCGTCTTTTGCAATTAAACTGCTATTTGTTAGTCTTGAAAATTCAGCTTTACTTGAAAGTTCTCAAAGATAGTTGTTTTTAATTTACCTGTTTTGTATTTGAAAATCAGATACAGTCTAGAGTCATGTAAAATTTATTCACTTCTGAGCTTAAAGAAATCTGCTGCCGTTAACTCGTTAACGATTGGGTCCACTTTTACAAGATTGGCTGAGAAAGTTCAATCTAACTTACCTGCCACTATTCCCTTTCCCGTGATCTGCGTCAGTTCGCCCTCCTTCATCAGGAAACAGTTCTTGGCCGTCTCCTGGTTCTGCATCAGTTTAAGTCTGGGCTCCGCAGCATCTTTTCTGCTTCTTCCACCGCCCGAGGAAGGCACGTCCAGTTTCTGCTGGATCTCAATCACCTTCTCGATCTGTCGCATTTTGGTGTCCACGTTATTGCAGTCGAAGGCCAGTTTCTTGGCCGCACACAGGGCCTCCTCCGAGTTGACCATGATTGATTTGTACTGCAATGTTCAAGTATTTTAGAGGAAATCAATTGACTTATTTTTCTATTACAATTAGCATATAAATTATGACAAAACGATAACCATCACTAATTAGTTAGTGCTCAATTTTTGATTTTTGTTAGAAAATGTTTTTTTTTTGTTATTCGAGGTATTTAAATAACATTCTTGTTCAAATTCAAACAGCCACCGTTTCCCGAGGATTTTATAGGTTGACTAAATTGATTTTCAAAGCTCTCCCAAAGACTTTATTTTGCCAAGTTTTCTGCGCCGCAAGCAAACTTTTGAAGAACACATGACGAGTTTAGTCACTTTTCGCTGACCAAAAAAATGGCGTAATATTTTGCGCGGAATCCTCTCAAAATTAGCATGTATAAAAACAAACCCCTTCAACTATTTCCCCTTTGGTACATTCGTACCTAGTAACGAATTGTCACCCCTATGAAGAATACATCAACGGTTAAGCTAATGCGAGTTTTTTTACCTATTAACGAATCTGCCCTCTCCCTTTTGCGAAAAGGGGAAATAGTTGAAAAGATCCCAAAACAGTACCTAAGAAAGGAAACCCTGAAGACATCCCTGAAGGAAAAAAGGGAGACCCCGAAGAGGTGGAATCCATGAAGGAACCAGTGGTAATCCACCCCTGCTCCTTAATATGAACTCACATCTACATCTACATTAGAATGTATATCAAATGGTTTGCGTTACAATGTAACTATTCGAAACAAGAGGACTCATTAGTAGTTGATATCTTAGGGTTAGACCAGGGTTAGGCCAACCTTTTTCCTCATTTCCAGCGACTGTTGGCTGTTTGTTTGTGTTTCTACCAGACGAGTGCTGTAGGTGAGCACCTTCTCTATGAGAATGTGGAATCGAGTGACCTTCTGAATGGGACCGCAGAGGTATGACTTCAAGTCCTGACCTTGACATCTTGGGTCACACTGCATGGCGTAGGTTGCGTCTACAAAAGCCTTGTTGTTCATAAGTTTCTTCAGCGTCTTCTCCTGTTCCGCCCTCTTCGAAGCATACGCCCTGTAGGGTACTGGGAAATACTCGGTCAAAAATTGCGTCAAATCTGGCATGAAGTTCTGCATAGTAATTTGTTCTCCTTGTGTTTCGTGTATACGAGATAGCAGTTTGTCCGACAAGTCCATCAGTTGTCTCATATTTGAAAACAATTTCTGCAACTCGTACTTTGTACAGATTCCGTTTTTGATCGTCTCACACATTTTCTCCAACGTGTTCAAGAACACTTCGATTGCAACTCCCAGATGTTTCCAGTACGAGTTCTCAGTCATGAAGATCTCGTAAAGTGCTTCATTCAGTTTTATTTCATCTGATTTCAGATGAGTCACAACGCCTGATTTTTTCACCTAAACTCAGCAAAACTTCAAATCTTAGTTGTTTTTGTCAGCCAACAAAACTGTCATCTCAATTTTCTATTTTTTGTCTCAAAAATACCTGCATAAGTTTACTTTTAAAAAGATCAAGATTCGACGCGTAATTGATAATAGGAAACTCTGTGAACTTTAACAAGCTGGTTGCTTTGGTGTCTTCATTCGCCTGTTTTGATCAATCACCTCTCGCAGCTCCTCCTCTTCATCGATTCATTACAACTGAACTTTCATTAAGGGTCAGATAATCAACCACACTGCTAACACTGGAAAAAGGATGACCTGCACGTTGTTACATTGTTAGCCATTGTTCTTTTCTGCTCCCAAAATCAGGGACCTCATAGAAGTACAAGTAAAGTTGCCAGAAAAGTGTCCCAATTGTGAGAAAAACTGTTTCAATTTTGCTGCTATTCCTACTTAAAATCCAAGAGGAGCAGAAGATGGAGATTTGTGTCTTAATTTAAACAAATAATTCATTCTGCTTCCCATATTTCCGATAAAGTGGTTGTTTATCAACTAATAATTCAAACTAGAATGGGCAATTCAATTTTCAAATGACTTTCTCTTCGCTTTTTTAACCTTATCTTTCTATGACGACAGTTATCGGAACATTCTGTGCTAACTTTACAACAATCGGCTACGCTTGTTGGTTGTTCCGACCATTGAAAATGGAGAGCGAATTTGTCTTCGGGAGTTTTAGTTTTTTCTTTTTTTTCCACGCAAAGTCAAGTACCGTAAATAATCATTTTGTACAATTGTGGTCGGAAAATTCTGTGCTACTAGCACAGCAATCGACTATCCATTTTGGAAACATTTCGGAAACACTTTTCTTCTTAAAATGCTACTGATTTAAATGTTTCCAACCACTTCGCTCTCGATCCACAGCGTCTGTTTCACCATCAGAGTCGGTCGTCTGTAGAGAGCACTTGACTTCCTGCCCCGCTCAGCCCCAGGGGGGACTCCCAACCTGCCACTTGCCGACCCCACAGCACCACACGAGTTCCTCCCCTTCCTCCCAACCACTGGGCGTCGGGGTGTCTCGGGTGTGTTCTCCCCAGTGCTCGGCTCACTCCCTCCGTTCGAGTCCGAGTCGCGAATGGTGGACGCTCGGTCGTTGTCTTCGTCCTCTTCAAGTGACGAGTTCTGTCTTTTCAAACCTGCTGTCAAACCTGAAACAAAATCATCAAATGTCACTTGTCAAAAGTTCGCTCGCCCGATATTTCAAGTTCTCTGTCTAGGTCAGACCCGTTCCTAGTCATGCACTTAAGAATATTCAGAACCCAGCCGGTGATTAATAGCACATGAGCGTTTTAAGTTGCTCTCTGGTCCAAATGACATGAGGTATGAATGTAGTGAACTCACTGCTGCTGGACTCGGAGATGTTTTCGTGGTCTTGTTCCTCCTCCCCGCCCGGTAGGAACTCGGGGATACTCTCGTCGTGCAGGATAGTGTGTTTCCTCTCCTCTGCCAGTTTGCCCAGTCTGTTGTAGCTCTCCGGCAGAGATGGCTCGTCTGTACTCCGCACTGACTTAGTGCCACTCTCACTCTTGTTCTCGTCGCCGTAGATGAAGCCAGCTGCAAAACTACTCCAACTTTGTCTTTAAAAACTCCTTAGCAACACTTATACGAAGAAATGATTGATTAGAAGAACCAGTCACATAACTAGGACTGTCACGTGGTGCGAAACCTACTGGGCCCTCCCAAATCACCAAAAAGAAGGAAGATTTTGTGGTGGTGAGAGGGACAAATTCTTGAGGGGTTGGAATTCTTGAGGAGAGTTTGAATCGTTTGTAAAGTTTTAGCAAATAAAGTAGATTTCGATTTTTAAAAAAAATATAAAAAGATTTAGAGGACAAAGGATCTTTTTTCCGACAAAACTTTACTCATATAATGACATTTTATGAGTTTTGAGTCAGAGTGTTCAGCCATAAGGAAAGTTTCAATTCGTTGCTGTTCAAATCTGTTCTAACCTCTAAAAACGCTGAGAACTGCCGAGCTCTGTGACGTGTTGGATCCTGTTCGACCGAGAGATCCCCTACCAGAGTCAGTGTCGGAGCCCCTGGGGATCAGATGATCATTCGGATCCTCGCCCTCCCTTAAAGTGGGTCTCTCTTTTCTCGGCTCTTGTTCCTCGTCGGGTTCCACGAGTATAAACGACATGGACTCCTTCGCATGTGAAGACTGTGGGCGCACTGCAGCTGATCTCGTCCGGCAAAACTGCTGCTCATCCGGTGAAATAAGTGTGGAGCTCCTGTAATGTTACGCAATAGGATATTATGTAATTGCCATGCTTACTGCAGAACTGATAGCTAAATCTTTTTGAAGAGGTGACCAACACAATAGCTAGACAGGAAGCGTGGTGTAAAGTAAGACGAAATGAATTTTGGGTTCTAGTTCAACGGAATCAGCTTTTATGCCATTGATGACTTTCAATAAAGCTTTGCTTGATATATGTATTACGTTTGAAGGTGACAAATTTGATGTGATTTTCAATTCTTAACCATCAAAACCCAATGAACTACTTTTGGATGTTCTTTCTGTCAGTTAGACGCAGAGGCTAAATTTAATCTTCAAAACGTGATCGAAATAAGCACAGTTATTTGGTTAGCCCGGCCCAATTAATGAGAAAGTGATTGCCCATTTGATAAAGATTAATGCGTCTAATTGGGTCTCCTTTTCTGCTACTAGAGCTCATAGTTGTCTGTAGATGTTGGGCCAAATTCATACCACTGAACAATGAAAGTGCTTAATTGTGATCAAACGATGGACGACCAATTTGAATGGAGCATTTCATATAGTTGACCGTTATTCAACGCAATGCACACCACTCATTTCAATTTGACATTTGATGACCCCAACTAGGAAAGTTCTAAAAGACGGAATACTTTGGAAACATTATATTTTGGAAACATTGTCGCTGACATCTGGAACCTGATCTAAACTATATTTTATTATTGGTTATAAATTGGATATTTTACCACTATAAAATATTTAAAATTAACCAATCATGATCCATCTAACTAACAAACCACTTATTTGTAAGTGCTGAAATTACTTGTAGTTTCAACACCAGAGAGATTTGAATTCAACTTAGAAATTAGTTACCTCCCCAAGAGAACTTTAGCAATCGCAATAAGCCAGTATACTCTAGATCTATTGAGCCTAGCAGAGACTAGTTAAACACCCTGAGACTAGTAGATATAAGAGTAGGATTAGGATCGGTATTAGACTAAGAAGTTGCACGAATCTATCCGGCCCAAAATAAGATAGCGTGACGAGCAGACGGTGTACCCTTTCCTAAATTACTCTATGAGTTAACCAATCGGACATAACTCATCTGGCGCGACCATAAGTCTCGAATTAGACTTAAATAGATAGCTTAGCACTAACTAGATTAGATTTAGACAAAACATTTTCAAAATATTAGTTTAATTGAAATGTCTCTACGACTCAAAAGATCAGAGCCGCTATTCCGTACAATACTAGAATTACCCGGTATTGGAAGATGACATCGGACAAGAGACGATCTACGACTACATAGAAACTTACCATTTAGTTTCATGGTCGTACGACAAAAGCCAACACAAACATTTATATTTAGAATCTTACTAGCAATGAATTTAGATTTTCATTTGCAAACATAAAATCCTTGAAGAAAATCTTCAATGATTATTTCAGGCGCTAAACACACTTATTATTGTACAATAACGATTGATAAAAACATCTCAAATCGTTTTCCTCAAATCTGCAGTCTATTCAAAAAAGATATCTGAAAAATATATTTATTGAAAATAAAAATGAAAATTAGTACAAATGATTATAAATTATTAGTAGACATAAATCATTTTGTCGTCTCCAGCTTCATCACCTAAACATAACAGCAATCAAAAGCCCACTAATATCATAAAACACACTAAAACTTTTTATCAAATAAACTTTAAATTATTTTAAAACGCTTATCCTAAACTTTAGCCTTACTTAACATAACTTTATTTAAACTTAAAACTAGATCACCAAGGCTTCCCTTGGATCTCAATTACATTTCTAAATTCATACATTTTGTAATACCATTTATTATTCTGATCATCAAGGCTTATCCTTGGATCAAATAGAACAATTTTGTTATCCCCTGCCCACTTAACAAGTGTCTAACGACCTCAAACTTCGGTTCACTACCCAACCCTATCAAAAGACCCAGGACTAATAGAAATTTTTCAATCACTCTAACCATTCTAATTAGGCTAAACAGTGAAGAACTTCAGTTATTCATCCTTCACTTGACCCCTCCTCTTAAATGACCCAGGAAAAAATTTAAACTTAGTAAGTTTAAAATAGTATCTAACGAACTACTCGCGTTCTAATTATAATTGAACCTTGTGGATCAATTTACTATTATCCAAACCTTGTTCACAATCATTACCCCTAAGTAAGATTAAGTAATATAACACCTTAACTTAGAATAGTCACGAGAAAGTAACAATCATTCTTAGGAATCGATATTTACTTTTCTCTCCAACCCTACATAAAAGACCCAAGTTAGGCTAACCAAAAAATCGTAAGGACTAACAGTCTAGGATATTAAAATCACTAATAAAATCCTTGCATCCTTTCATCCTAAGCCTTATGTCACAAAAAATTTTAGGCAAAAAAGAAACAATCGTAATACACAACAGTGAAATAAACAATCAGAAATATGATCTCGTAATTACCCCACACACAAACAGTTCGATACATTCGAACAAAACGACAAACAACAAAAAAAATTATAAGTAAGCAAAAACAGATTACACGAAGAAAATTTTCAAAGAAAAAAAACGCAGTCTCCGAATCAGAAGTCAGTAATTTAAACGCACTCTATAAACTGAAAGAAACAGTAAATAGAAATTACCCAATCCATGACCAATTAATTTTTTCTGACTCAGAAGCCACATCATACTCATCAAAGCAAGGAAAAAGACAAATAAAAAAAATTTACAATTTAAACCAGTACAATTGGAATCAACCAATCAGACATATTGAACATTACGTACTAACAGCTATAAAACGAAACATGAGCCACACTCAGAGCGATGAAAGTCCAGACGAATACTCCGTTTTTCCATTTATCATTACTTTACTCACTGATGATAGAGGACAAACACAATTTTGTAATAATCTAATCGCAAACTTATTAAAACACGGAATCAGCCAATGTAAAGCAGAATTGCACGAAATAAAAATCAAAAGACAAACTGTCGATCATTATTCAAAAAGAATATGTAACCTAACACAACAATATGGAGTTTACGCCATAGAACTCAGTACACCAAGAAAATTTCATGGTAAATATGTTATCCAAACAGATGAAATTGATATAGAATTTTCAAAAGTATTCACAGAATACATTAAAAACAAACAACACCAAAATTCACAAAGAGTGAACTCAATATTCACCAACGAAGTTTTTGCAATGATATATAGATATTTATCTATACTAGAAACAACAGAAACACAAACTACATCACCACTCGAATCATCAAAACACACAAAAGTGAGAAAGAAAATTGCCGCATTTTCAGCATTTTTAAACACAATCCGTGAAAATCTTACCAGTAACGACGTCTCACAAAAAGCTAAACATGATTTACAAAAATTTTTAGCAGGGTTTATAATTGATTATTTCACACATAAAATTGATTTAATTGCACAAGCAAGAAAAAACTTAAGACCTCAAAATACCAATGATGATACCGTCATTGCAGAGCAATCAGATTATGTTTGGGACCCTGAATGGTCTCACCCACTATTTTTAGGGTTTCCAGTAGACATCTCAAGTCAAGCAATTAGTACAATATCAATCCATAAAGATTACGTGAAGGTATTTCCACTTACAACAGATGCAACACCTTTAAACTATAATTCAATCCTACCTGGTACACAAAAACATAGTTTAAATTCAACTGTTATAGAACAGGAAAATCTTAATAGATCTCGAATTCTTACACAACAAGATATTCAAATAGCATCACAAGTAGTCAATGAAGAAATAGTTGAAACAATAGCGACAACTACGCAACAAAGCAATTCACCAATACATCCAAATCTCACAACACCAAGACCCAAAAATCCAACATTACCACAAGTAACATTACAATCCACGGTCAAACCATCGGTTGCTCCAAAATATTCACACCTGGACTATCAAACATATAGACCTATGACAAAACCATCAAAAACAAGAAAAAACATTTACAAGTAATTTTGCGGATCACAATTATAATTATGTCAGTCCATCACAAACCATCCAACCCCACCGCAGAAATACACAAAATCATTTATTTTCACAAAAATGGAAACTTCAAAACACATCACAAAACCCAGTAAATTTCCAAGATCACCCTTATCTCCCACAAGATCGTAGTGAAAATTACCCATTTTCCCAACAAAATAGAAATAAACAACAAACACCCTACTATACAAACAACTTATCATCCGATGATGATGATTACTTCCAACCAGATTTTTTTGCAACATATACTCAAGAATAACATACACAAAAACCCCGACAAACTCAAACATTTCAAAATAAAAAAAATCACCCACAAAACCCAAACGATATACAAAGCTACCAACCGTTCCAGATGCAAAGTCCAATCACCATACAATCTTATCATCCAGCACAATCACAAAGTTCAGCTAATATGCATTCTTACCAACCAACACAAATGCAAAATGAAATACCGCTACCATTTTATATGCCGCTGAATGATTACAAATATTAAATGCCGCTGATTGATTACAAATGACGATGAATCCATAATGATGGATGTATCTCCGATCACATCAAATAAACCATTGATGGTATTTACAGGCAAAGGCCCTGAATATTCTGTAGAAGATTATTTAAATGCAGTTACAGCAAATTTAATTTTAAATATAGGACCTTAACCAATTACCGCACCACTTCACCAAAACTGGATACATCGACGCACAGCGTTAACACAAACAACACTTGATGGCGCAGCTCAAAAATTGTTTTCAGTTCTACCATTAGACATAAAATCAAGAATTTTCAAAACTTTTTGAATCTGAAAGAAACAAACAGCATCAAAGAGTTTGTTCTCTTTTCACAAGAATTTTGAAAAAGAATTTAGCACGTGTCTTGCTAAACAAGAAAAGAAAAGGAAAAAAAAACAACAACAACCACAACAACATTGACAACTATTGTAACTATTGCAACTATTGCAACTATTGCAAAAATTGCAACTATTG